GTGAGGATTAAGCGGTGTATAGATAATGGATGGATGTTATACTTGTAGTTGGGCTGCAAGGTGGCTCAAGGGTTAGCACCATTGCCTCGCAGCAAGAAGGTCGCCGGTTCGTGTCCCGGTTAGGACACCCGGGATCTTTCTGCATGGAGTTTGCATGTTCTCCCCGTGCAGCATGGATTCTCTATGGGTTCTACGGCTTCCTCCCACAGTCCAAAAACATGTTGAGGATGTGAGTGTGCTTGGTTGTCTGTCTCTAAGTGTAGCCCTGTGATAGACTGGTGACCTGTCCAGGGTGTCCCCTGTCTTCACCTTGAGTCAGCTGGGATAGACTCCAGCCCCTGGCGACCCGAGTGAGAACTAAGTGGTGTATAGATAATGGATGGATGGATACTTGTAATTTAATTGTGTTTTATCAATTGAAGCTATTGATTGATTTTCAGTGTGCCCAGCTTCAATCTGATTAGGTTTACAACAGTATTGAAAGAACTGTGTGCAACACAGTCATTCTAACACAGTGCACAAACTTTGGGGTCTCAGACATAATTGGACACTTGTTGGAGAGTTCAATGTCATTTCACTGTTGGTTCATCCTCAACAAAGGCCACACATGGGTCAGAGATGACGATGTGTGATACCTGTGTTGGTCCACAAACATATTCGTTTCACAATAAAGTTTCTAAAATTATGAAGTATTTTTTTCCTTTTTTTTTTTTTAATCAGTATGCGTCTGGATAATTGAGAGTTACCATTTATAGAGCCTACCCAGATTTCGAGCTTTTGTTTTATCGCTTAGCCAGTTCACAGAAACTAACAGCTAACAGAACGAAACAACAGTAATTTCCGAAGACAGGAAATACCCACTGAGACCAAAAGTCTGGCTCATGACGTTTTTATTTGTAAAAAATTATGCCTCGGCCTGACTTTCGATCCTCCAACTTTGGCACTGAACTATGTCTGTTTGTTTCAAACCAAAATGCTGTGGAAAATTACATTTAAAATTATGCTTAATTACATATTTTAACTATGTTTAATTACATATTTAACTATGTTTATTTAACTGCCTTGGTCAGTAGAACTCAAAACTATGACCTTCATGATGTGCGAGTGACATTCATGATGACTGAAATAGAGCTGCATGATATTGTGACGTTTATTTCACCACAAAAGCAACGAGGAGACGTTGAAGGACCATATAGGGTGACTGAGGGGTCGGGGTGCACACTCAGTGGGCACAAATGCTCTCAGCAGTGAGTCCCTTGTTCAGTTCCCAGCTGGTCAGACCACTATTGCATGTCTCTTCCCACATTCCTGTCTCCCTCTACTGTCAGTATCTAAAAGTGAAAAATGCTAAAAATAATCTTAAAACACATGCCAATACCGTGTTTTTATGTGACACATCATGAGTCAAATAAGCAGTCAGTGCCATGGCTGAGCATTTCCTCCCTGAAACTGCAGCGTACTGATGACAAAAACACAATTCAGACATGTTGGGTTTCATATGTAACAAACGGAAAGAACCGGTTCTGTTAAGTTGACGTGCTGGGGTTTTAAATGTCATTTCTTCTTCCTCAGAATTGTTTTTTGGTTTGGTCAAAAAACGAAAGCCGAATTAACGGCAAAAACGGTCCCAAAATAAAAAGTGGTAATGGGGAAGGGACAAGAAGTTTAAAAGAGTGGAACAAAAGTGGTGGGGAACCCGGGGGCCCGAACCGCAACAAAAAACAAAATGCAAAAGAAACAACCCGTTAAAATTAAGCCATTTAAAGGTATGAAGAGATTGTTGTCACACGGGAAAGAACTTCTAAATATGTAATTTTGAAACACAGTTATTACTTTTTAAGTGTTAAATCAATGACTGGAGAGAGACTTTCATAAAAAGTGTATAATGTGTAGCTGTTATTATGAATGAGAGACCTTTTGTACTCAGTTGGTCACAAGGTGGCAGTGGAGGCCTTCCTGCACCACCACCAGCAACCTCTAAAGCTGGAGATTGTCCTGTGCACCTGCTTCCCTTGAGTCAAATGTACAGTACACTGCGTGCAGGGAAAAAACGCAACTGGGCATTTTATAAGGTGTGAAGGTCAACTATGTGGTCCTGACCGTAATGTAAACGGTCCTGGAAAATCATGCTTACTAGGCCTTGATGACACAATTTTGACATTGACCAACAGCTTGGAAGGACGACATGCAGTCCACGGTGCATGTTTGTGCATGCACAGCGTGGGATCATGCATTAATAAGACAAAAAAAAAAGCCCTTCTGCTGCTGCATTCACTGTGACTGAAATATGCAGACATTCACTTTGCCCTTGGAATATATTTGTGAATGAGCCCAGGCAGCAGTGAAGCTCCATCTCTTGTCTCCTCCTCATTTGGATAAATGTCACGGATCACCTTACGGGCAAAATCAGTGTGTTTTTGTCATTCAAGAGGAGGTAAGACTGTCATTTTTGTTGCCTTGGAGACTACAAATCAATAGCACCGTGCAGTGTCTTTTTTGTCCGTTTCCCAATGAGCGGGCTCGGTGGCTGCTGTCGTCATCAGGGCTGAGGGGGGGCGGGGGGGGAGCGGAGGAGGCGGGCTCTGATTGGCTGCCGCCGTTAATGAGCTGCCATTGAGGATTTTTTGGCTCGTGCGGAGGGGAGGTGTGTCTCGGGCTGCAGGAGAGCACGCCTCTCGCATAAATACTCCACACAGCTGTGGCTCTGATCAGACGCACCAATTTGGAGAGCAGAGTTGTGCACGCAAGGTTCCTCGCAATCGCCACTTTCGTTTTGCTTCCTCCTCCGGTGAAAGCAAAGCAGATTAAAAAAAAGAAAGAAAGAAAGAAAGAAAGTAGAGGGAAGTCAGTGGCAGTGATTAAATCTCCAACCCTAAACCTCCCTCAGCAGAATTGCCAGCAGGTGTGAATTCATGTCTGTATTTTCACCGCAGATCTACTGGTGAGTACTCGCATCTTTTCACCTGTTCACATGTGTGAGTGAGTTGGAGTGTGTTCTTTGTTTGGTGCCCTGTTTCCAGTCGATTCTTAGAACTACCTAGATTAAATATTAAACATTGGATTTGTTGGACTGACAGGCAACAGAACAATGACATGCCTGGTTGTGGTTTGGTGTGCTTGGTGATTTCCCTCAGAATCTGCTACCCCCTTTTTTTTTTTTTTTTGGTTGCTACACCCACTCTTGTTTCCTTTGAGATTTTCTGTGGGGTGTTGTCCCTGAAATTTGGAAATGTCACAATGCAGATGGGTTGGAAAAAAGAAGAAAATTTCTAGGTCTCTCTCCCCCCCCCTTTTTTTTTTTTTTTTTAAACCCATAAAGGTCTTTGGCAGGTAGTGCTGCTGCCTGTTCACAAAGGTCACAGTGGTCACACGGTGTCGTTCTGTTCTATTCAAAGATAAATGTGCTCGAATCCCCTTTTAATACTTTGTTTGTTTTAACCTCTTGACACGTAGCTGTGTTTGAATCGAGGAAGAAACTTGCTTTCATCTTTTGATCTGTAGTGCTGCAGGTGCAGTGCTTGTAGAGAAGGATGTAGGCACGTTATCTGCTGCTAATATCTGCTGTCAGTGACATTTTTCTTTCACAGTTGACTCCTTAATCCACTCCTTGATACAGGAATACGGGAGTGCATCGTTGTTTGTTTGAGCATTTCTGCTCTCTTATCTGCCGAACGCTTTCCTTTCTGTTGAGAGGATGTGCACGGTGCTTTGAAATGTTGTTTTGCGAGCTCCGTTCAAACCTCTGTAGGCTTCTGTCTTTCTCTACCAGGAAGTTCAGAGTCGACCTCTTTACTGTAACCACACTTTGCTTTCTTGCCTGTGCTTGCTTACAGTTGGTTTTTTGTTTCTGTCTTCGCTTATGTGTGAAATCTGAGAGCAACACTTTTAGAATAATCTTTACTTAACAGAGGGCTTCGCAAAAAGCTGCAAAATGCTTCACAGAGCCTAAAATCATCAGAATTTAAAAGACAAACTTTTCCTTAAGTTTATTTCAGAAACAGGGTTGGAATGTTTTTCTGCATGCTTCTTCCATCTCTACGTGAACAGGAAGACATTTTTCTCATGACACTTACTGGATCTCAATCACTGGATGTAGTGGCACATATAAGAGAACTTGGTGCAGTTTTCTAGACATGAAGCTTTCACTTCCACACACCGCTGAGGTAACTGATCCCTGATGTGTTTTCAGTAGCAGAGTCAACCCACAGGAATCTGGATACAACCCATTCATTCCTGCTCGCTCCTGGGGGTCTTACTCAGTCCTCCCACCACCCACATACCTGCAGAGCTGGTGGAAAGCATAGCGCTGGCATGGAACGTCAGCAGCTTTACCCTGTCGCCACACAGGCTGAGATTTATGATCGTAGTAGTAAGAACTTAGGGGGGTGGCACAGAGGGGGGAAACAATGTTGATAACGTAAGATTCAAGTTCCCCTCTTGTGCAGTGGGATTGTTGCAGAGAACACTTGGGCTCCTGTCAGCAAAAACAACCTCACAGACGAGAAAGGAGCTGGCAGGGTGTTTTTATAGTTCTGAGACGGATGCTTGAAAACAGTGGGTACATTTTAAAAGAATGATTTCACTGTCTTAAGTGAGGCTGGTGGGTCAAATGGCTTCAAGAGACCGTAACAAGTGTCTCATGTTAATGTGTGACTGCTGCATACTGTTACATGGGGGGTCAGAGTTGGATGATTAGGTGCAGTCAGTGTTTAAAAAAAGCAAAACTCAAAGAGACTGCGAAACACAAATGGTCTACTGCTCCAATGAATGCATGTAGACAAATGCATGGAGTTGCTGCATTTGTCTACTTTTCAAGTCTGAACCAGAAAGTATCGCATGTTGCTGGGTTGTGATTCTGGGATGATTGCAAAACAACAATTTAAAAAAAAAAAAAAAAAAAAAAAAAAGACGTCACAGATTCACTGATTGGTTACACAATTGTAGCTGGTAAAATCAATGCAGATCAAATTGCCAATTAAATGTCGGAGATGGTGCATCCAAATCAGATTTTTATCTGACCAGCAGAACAATTTGAGATAGTAATTTATCTTATGAATGGACAGAAATGTATCTGCAACGTTCTGCTCATTTAAACTTAAACTTGTTTTGGACTCAGGATGGTACCGTCCATCCATCTGTGCCCGAGCTGGCTGTGGCATAAAGAAGCTGGTATGTTGACTGAGTCAAGAGGTAAAGAGATTTACTACCACCTGCCCCAACAGCTTCAACTATTCAGTCAGTTTATGTTAAAATGTGAGTTTTGCCTGTAGAGTTCAGCAGTCTGTCCATTTTAAGTGTTTCTCCATTATGATGCAGCTGCATCATAGGACCATCACTTTCACATAGCTGAACGTCTGTGCACCAAAAGCTGTAGGTAACTAGTTGTGGTCCATGCTAAACTTGTGTCAGATTTACAGCCTGGAGAACTATTAACGTGTTCTAGTTCTGTTCTAGGCATTCTAGCCCGACACTTGAAGCACTCATAGCTGTGACTGTGGTCGCTGCATGTTTGTTTCCTCCCAGGTCGACTTGTTGCTCATGCACCCCCACTTCCTCCTCATTGTGCCCCCTTTATGTTTTATTAGGCCGATGTTCTGTTATTCTTAGCCGAGCAGGATGTTTATACGATCCAAGAACAGAAATATGACTGGCAAGGCCTGAGTGTTTATCTTTCTTTCCCTTCACTCCTTCCCTTCACTGTTCATCCCTCTGTCTCCTCCTCTGCTGCTTTCCTGCATGCCTGCCTCACCCTCCTCACCCTCCTCACCCTCCTCTGCACCCCACTCAAGGATGATATAAGTTCGAGAACAGCCCCAGCTGACATTTTTTCCATGTTAAACCTTCCGTATCCTTCAAGCCTCCTTTTTTCTTTTGTTTTATTTCTGGATATCCGGCTATTGTTTCGGCCAAGTATGGCGTGCCGTTTGCCTCGCACAGTAAAGGTTACTCACAGTAATTCAGTCAAAAGTCATTTTTAACATTTTCAGAGTCACCGTGCACCCTATTGTGAGGTCACTATTGCCTTATGAAAGCAACAAGAGGTGTGTGTGCGTATGTGCGCGCGCTTGTGTGTATAAATTTAGGGATGGAAAAACTGATAAATTGCTCCAGGGGTTAATGATCTCCTGGAATTGAATGACTCACGTCACATGATTCAGTTCTTCTCAGAATGAATTTATGTTAATTCTGCTTCTTAGTTTAGACCACACGAAGGCTGCAGTATATGGGCATCTAAACAAAACTATACAAATCAAAACTTCACTGCCTCAACAAGTGCTGGTGCACAATGTGGAGGCACTGAAATGAGGCCTAGAAATTCTGGGGGAGGAATCGCTGAATTCACAGCAATGAGTGATCCTGCATGTGATACTTCGTCTTTGAAAACTTCACTGTTATCCACTCGTTTATCAATGTATTGGTTTTTATCATCTTGTGTCATTTTACTCGTACGCCAGACTAAAGCATTCGTCAACAATAAAACTCTTTTGCTGTTTAAACCTGAAGCTGGAGCTTTGCAAAGAGTACTCTTCTGGATGACTCATACGTGGAGACATGAAGGCAGAACTGTGCTTTGCTTAGAAATCCCACAGAATATGTTTCATGTCATAATTGCAGATGAAGTGAAAGTGATGTAGTTTTGCCACAGTTTATTTTTTTACAGGGACTACTGTTTGTGTAACTTATCAAACATTAAAATGATTTAGTATTTGTTATCCAACAGACGTGGAGTTTTGATAGAGAAAGCTGTAGCACATGGTAGAATTAAGTCAGTGGAGAGCATGTTTTATGTAATCGTCCCTTATTTTAAACCCACGTTTTAATCACTACAATGATATATATATATATATATTTATTTTTATTTTTTTTTACCATTCTACTGTATCTAAAAATAAACATTTAAAATTCAAAGTAGGTCAAGCGAAGCCCTCACATCTCTTCCCCCCCAAAAAAGAAAACAAGTCCATTGAATCAGATAATGTGAGGATGTGAGTGAGCTTGTCGTGTTCTGTTTTCTTTGTCCTATATAGCCAGTGACCACACAAACCACAAGCCCGTGGCCACTGACCACTGGGCACCAGGCTTTAAATAGAGAGCGTGAGAAGGCCGCTCAGCATCTTGTCTCAAGGCAGCGTCTGTCAGTCCTGGGACGTGCTTCCAGTATTTTTTTTTTTAAGGCTTTACTACAACAATGCTGAATAGAGAATGCACTGAGGAGAGATAAACAACCTCTTGTTACTTTTATCTAAAATGGAAAGTTTGGCCAAGCTTTGATGGAACTGAGTGCATGAAGTTCCTCCCCAGTCAAATACCACAACACGCCCCCAGCAAACTCTCACAATGACTATTCTCTGGTTGCTAGTGCAAGAGCACATCATCCTGTATTTAGAAACGGCCACCTTATGCAAGCCACATCATGAGCTGTGCAGCTTTGCAGTGCATTAACACAGCCGAGCACCGACTGGATGTTTGGTGTGTTGTAGCCAAGAGCAGTATAAACAAAACTGTCATATGCAGCGAGGTAAATCAGCCGTGGCCTTCAGACTTTGGCAGCTTAGAGATGAATTGATAGCTGTGGTAATTTTTGGTTTTCTTCTTTTGGTACATGCCATTACGGATAGTTTTTACTTATCGTGACCTTTCATCCGTTTGTCCTCGCTGTATACAACCTGTCCCATAATATGTTTGATACGAGACAAACTAGAATCCTACTTATATGAAGCCCTTTCAGTGTATCAGGATGTCAGGCTAATACACCCAGATTTTTTTCTGCTAAACTTATTTGTTGACCCCATAAGCCATCATCACTGCATCTAATCAGGCTTCTGTTTCTCTTTCAACCCTGCAGCCCAGTGTTTGTACCCAGCCGAGATATGACTGAGGTGATGATCAGCAGCACCCCCATGGAGGACATGAGGCTCAGCCCCAGCAAGGACAGACTCTCCTTCCAGGTAGGACACACAGGCATGACAGTGGGTGTTTCTCAAAGTCAAAGACGCCTCCTCAGTCCTTCAGAGATTAGACAAGACTCCTTAGAGCAGTCTAGTGAGTGTGCATCATTATCAAGGTGGGTGTTTTGAGAACCTAGAGACTACTCACAGGTATCCTTGAAAACTCTTTGGGCGTAAGATTAGATCCTCGGTTGGAGGCTCCTCGACACTGGATGACGTCATAGAAACATGCCACTGCAGGTTGGGAACAGCTGCATTTTGTATGTGGTGGTGAAGAAGGCTCTATAATAGTTGTATATAAATTTATTTTAAATGTGCCAGACCACTGGGTCCCGAGCTTAATAGTTTTCATATAAAAAGACAATCATTTTAGAGCACTTCGACCTTGTTTATCCCCATGAGCCAACAAAAATGTTTTGCAGTTGAACAGCATGAAGATGATTTACAGATCTAACTTAAGTGCCAACTTACAGTTTTAATAGCTAAACAATGACAATACAATGCTAAGAAAACATTACAACAAAATTCCACATCCTTCTCTTTCTACCTCTAATGTGTTGAGAAAAGGCAGATTATACTTGTGACAGCTTTAGACACACTGAGGAAACGCATGTGGTGGAAACTGTCATTTACTTTGGTTGGTCACAAACTGAAACCGTGCAGATTCAGAGAGATGACAGAAGCAGCCATCAGGTGGATTTGACAAGTTGTTGCCAGGGGCTTTGTTTTACTGTCAGCTCAACAGGGCCGTCTTGGAAACCAAATTCACAGCCGCGTGCTTGGTTTTTTGTTGTCGTTTTTTTTCACAGTTGTACCTTGGTGGGGAAAAAAATTACAGGAGCTCCTGTTAAAACTTAAACCGTCTTATTGATTAAAAAAAAAAAAAAAAATTAATTAACCCTCTGAAACCCAAGCAGGTTTCTGGTCCTTTGTACTCATGGCTAGAATAGGAAGAACTCAACAATGTCTTCTGACACAGTCTGTCAGTTATAATGCCATAAACCCTAAGAAAGTAAAGTTTATTTTCTTTGATTACCCATTTTACAAAAATGGGGGGAAGAAAACAGGGCAATCAACATATACAGCATTTTTTCCAACCACACACAGATCCAACAAAGACAAAAAAAAAAGAAGACTCAACAAACAAAAGAAAGCTAAATAAATACATATAGTTAGCATACACACCTCCAAACAACCTTGGGGAAAAAAAACCCGCAAGTCAAACAAAAAATCCCCGAAAGGTTGGCAAGCAAACGGTAAAAAAACCCCGTAAGGAAAAACAGTTTTTTTTTAAAGAAATGGCCTAATTTGGGTGCTTTTTGTAAAGACAACATGCCCTTCAAATCCAGTGGGGAGTTTTGGGTTCGGAGTGAAAGCCATTTAAGATTTTGGACCAGAAGGTGGAAGACTTTTTAAAGAGGCCATCTCATCCTCAATGAGTTATATATTTATTGCTGGTACAGAAGTATGTATTCAGTACATTTCTAAACTTTACACAACAGCCTGTGTGTGCTGTATGCAAACAGACTCTGAGAGGATGTGGACTGACCCAGAGGAAAAGCCTGGCTTCCTTTTTCCTCAGTTCACACCCCAGCTGTGAGTCTGTCTGAGAGGATGAGAGAACTGAATGGGGGGGTAGGGGTACCAGAAGAAAAGGAGGATGCCAATGTGCCATTCTACCTTTTTTTTTTTTTTTTCATCTTCCCACTATGTCCAATGTCCCTGACTCCTTAGAGAATCGCTGTATGAAGCAATGATGCTGCACTAGTCACTTCCTCCATTACGAGTTCTGATGACTTTGACTCAAATTATGTGACCGTAAGATTCCAGATGTACTAATAAAAAAGGTATTGAAATGAATGTGACCTACAGTGCTAGAAGAGAAAACTGAGTGGATGGATGCTGACTTACCGAATTATCATATCAAAAGGCAATGTCATGATTCAGGCCCTTCCACCCGACTACACATGCTAGAAGAACCTAAAATAGCCAGCACTGTGCCTGGGTGATGTGTCGTCACTTCCCGTCACTACAAGTGAAACAAGCTATTACATGTGTTAGCTATGGGTCCAAAGGCAAGGTCACCCAAAGCCCAACTCCCCTTGGTGCTGACGCACAGTTAGGATTCGTGATGCAGGCCAGAATGCAGATACACTCAGGCATTATGCATAAACACAGATATGCTTGCGTACAAAATCATTCCTCTTGGCGTGGTTCTGTACACAGCTGGGTTTAAGAGAATGTAAAAGCCACTAATAGCCACATACATGCTTTCATAACACGAGAAATTCTCACATTCGCGAAGCATATTTATAGCTTTTTGTCTTTTTCCTCCCTTCTCATCTGTCTCCTATGGAATTCATGGAGACTTGGACACAGCTGGATCCCCTCTATCTCTTCTTGTCTCTCTCTCTTTCTTTCTCTCTCTCTCTCTCTCTCCTGCCTCATCTAATGCTTTCTTTCCACTCGGCTCTTTGCCCAGACAGCGACATCGCCCCCACCACCCCACCCCTCAATGTCTTGGAGTGAAATATGCAGGTCTAAAAATATTCATCCACTTTATCCAAACAACAGCAAAAAAAAAAAAAAAAAAAATGCTGTTCTTGGACCAGGAGTGGCAGGCTTTTTTTCCCCCTGGGCCATTTCTCCTGTTCCTGAGAACAGAGAAAGTCGGAGGCTGATGTCCAATCTTGCCAGGACAGGGAATGCATGTAATCTCTGTTGTCAGAACGTCTCTCATGCCCTTCAGTTCAGATCCAAACATTTGAGCGTGGCACGCTGCGTTTATAAGCAGACATATCAGTCTGGATTTCTACCGATTCCATGTTCTTTCCTAAGCCTTTTTTCCTGACTGCGTCCCCACAGATGTGTACAGTATTGAAACGCTGACTGGAAATTCTATTTATACACAAATCATGTCAAAGTTAATCTTTCACCTTTTTTGTATTTTCTTACTTTGATTCAAAATGCTATGATTATGCTCGAGTCTAATCTTCTGAGTGGGGGATGAGTTGGTAAGCAGCCGCTTGGCACAATGCCTTTCAAGGCACTGAGATTAAACATGATGCAGCATTTACAATGAGTTTCGCTACAGATGCCTCACATACCTGTATGCAGGTATTGATGCAACTCTTACTTGTGCAGTTATTTTTGTTTATTTTTTTTATTGGGCACCTTTGTATGCGGAAAGCCAGCTTAACTGAAGGAATGTGGGATGGGCAAGAGCAGGTATGCCACTGGGATTTTAGGCAACCACTTCCCGTCACAGATGTTTAGTCTTCACATCACTTCCTTCACAGTTGTTTAGCTTTGTATTGGTGCCTGCTGCACCTCCACAAGATTCAACCCTAAGTTCTGGTAACCAAGAGCCATTTGAATCTATCACAAACATGCTCACAAATAATTTTGTTTGCCTTCGAGATGGGACAGTTGACTTTTCTGTCTTGAAACAGCCTGACTTTCATTTCCAGAGACAAATGTTGTATTAATATTTAAAGATGAATAACCAGTCCGTTCCCCATGTGTTTCCTCTTTAGATATTCCCAGACCCCTCAGACTTTGACCGTTGCTGTAAGCTCAAAGATCGCCTACCATCCATCGTGGTTGAGCCAACAGAGGGGGAAGTGGAGAGCGGGGAGCTTCGCTGGCCTCCAGAGGAGTTCCTGGTCAGTGAAGAAGAAGAAGAGGAGGAGGAAGAGGAAGAGGAGGAACAGAGTAATGGCAGTATCCAAAATGGACAGCCAACACAGAATTCTCAGCACTAGAGGCTGTGCTGCATCCTCCCCCCAGATTTATTCTTGTTTCTTTCTGATGGACTCTCCTTTTCACACACTGGTTAAACTTCACCTCAGCACTTCAGAATACTCAACCGACACGTTCAGTGTCTCAGGATGCCATCTGGTTGCCCATGACACCAAAAAAAAAAAAAAAAACAGAAGTCACTCCCACAAGAGAAGCAACACACACCCACAAACTCTTTCTCACATGATAGTTTATCCCTCTGGACTGCAAAACCACGTAAACAGACCTGAAAAGATCAGAAGCCCTCCACCCGTCCATCGTGTCTACCACCGCTTGTGTCTCAGCCCAAACCGGATGTCCTGTTGGACGGCGGCAGCTCAGTGCTCCATGGACAGGTCTTATTCTGCAGGCGGGGCGACTGCTGCTCTGTGCTTTACTCCAAAATGGCTGGCGTCATGACCCCAGAGACTTAATGCATTGCGTTCAGAACTATTGTGGTACCCGTGGGAATTCTTGTACAGTACACTGTTTGTGTTCAGTTTCTGGATTGCTCTGTTAATTATTGTGATTGCCACTGCTGTCTGTACATTTGTCTGTTTTTTGTTTTTTTTTTTTTTTAGGAGAAATGGGTGTTTTTTGTGCAAAAAATATTGCTGGGATGTTTGTTTTGTTTTCCCCTCACAGGATTTGTCTAAATGATTCTTTAGTGACGTTGTGTCCGGCATTCACAGTAAAAAGAAAAAAAAAAAGAAAAAGAAACCTGGAATTATTTTACAGTGAGCAGAAAACAAAAGAGATAAAAATAAGTGAACAGCATGCTGTGCTAAGTACCTGTGTGATAAACTAATTTTACAGGCTTGTTATGCACCAAAGGCAGTGTTATGCTGTGATCCTCCCATCATCACGTTGGCCCCCTCGAAGCCTTATGATGAACAGCAGTCAGATGACAAAGCAAAACGCAGTGACTTTGAGAACAAAATGTGACGTAGGCAGGTTATTGTTTAAAGGAGAATGAGGATGGAAAAAATTGTAACTTTTGAAAAAGCACTTGATAAAGCAATGTACAGGTCCAATGAAGGATGTGTAAATACTTGTTCCCAGTGAGCCAACCCCTGAGGCCTTGTAGTGCGCTGATCGTGTTTCTATGGGTTTGTTTTACTCTTTAGAAACACTGAGCTGTACATGTCTGAACTGAGAGTTGACCGCGTTTCCTCGTCTTCCTGTTCTTTTTGAAAACAGCCATACTTTCGACACCGCGAAGTACAGGTTGTGGAGCATTTAGAGACACAATTCACAAATGAGAATACAGGAAAGAACCGAACCAGTACTCTTCATTTACATTTAAAATGACTTCTGATGTTTGCCAATAGCTGTTAATGGGAAACTGTATTTGTTCTCTTGGTAGCAATATGTCTTTTTTTTGCTTTAACTTTCCTTTCATGTAACTTCAAAAGTGGTTCGTTTTTCTCTCACAACTTACTGTTTGTGCAACAAGTCTGTGGAAAAGATGTCACTTTTGTGTACAGTCTGTTACTGTTATAGAAGCATGACTGAGATGTCTTTTTTTTTTTATTGTAAATTCTCATTTGAGTGGCATTAGGGCTGTGTACAGAACATCTCTCTCTTTCTCCTGTCTGTCACCTGCAGGTCCCACGTTGTTTTTGTAAAGCTCAGGGAGATTAGCCGCCATCTTTCTCTTGTTTTTGTTTTTTTTTTTGTGTGTGTGTGTGTGTGTTTTTTTTGTATTTAGATCACTTTTCTCGGTGACAATTGCAAAGGCTGTAAATAAACATTTGAATTTGCTATCCAACTGTGTGAGTCTGCTTTGAGAATAACTAACTTTAAAGGGGATGTTTCCACTTTATGACACAAGATGAAGTAAATGAGTGTTTCACAGGGGTAATCCTCCAGCGCAAGAGACTTTACTTGTGTGTTTACTTTCATTTTCCTTTATGTTAACCTACCCCCCCCCTTTTCCCCACTCACTTCACCTGCAGTGGTTACAGAAAAGCAGTATTATTTCCTGCTCTGCATCCTTCACATATCTTTCTCTCTCTCTCTCTCTCTACGAAAACAGATGCGTGTATCAAATACATGTATATATAGAAGCGAGAGCAGGCCACATGCTACTTCCTGTCTTCAACTTGCACACAAATCTACCTCCTAGTTGCTACAAAGTCTCATCCCTGAACTCTGAACAGCTTTCATTTCTAAGTTGTTAAAAAAAAAAAAGAGCAAGTTAAAAGTACTTGTCTGGAGAACAATGGTTTGACCTGCCAATCTTTAAAGGCTTTTACAGTTACAGAAGGATAGAACAGGGTAACAGCCTGTGGAAGCAACTCCTCACGCTCTCCCCATAAACACTTCACAATGATACAATAAAATGTGGTTGAGTGGAAAAGCTCTAATGGGGAACTGGGGGATTTACGGGGAATAAACAGAAAGCTTTCTGATCACTGTTACAATGGAAACTTCTCAGGTGATTTGCTGCTATGTACTATATTAGTGACCCGCTAGGTCAGGTTTGATTGCCGAGTACCGGGAATAGTCCGTCAGAGTTGCTGTGGTAGAGCCTTTGGAGGCCAAGGGCCTGATAGATTAGCCAAGGTGGTACTCTCAGGGCCTTACAGTCACTTCCTGGAAGGGGAACAATGAACTTCCATTCTGTCCCGCTTCCTTCTTCCTGGAAAAAATGGAGCATAAAGAGTTATTAATACCCTCCCAGCTGATAATGGTGGTCAGCGGCAGAGTGTGTGTGTCTGGCCCGGGGAAGCGGTGTCTCGTTCTGAACAGACTACAAAACGAACATCCGTTGTGACTTTCTTAATGACTGCTCCTTGATCTCAGTGGAAAAAGTCATGAGATCATGGAAAAAAGAAATCACAAGAAGTTAGAAAAGGACAGTCCTTAGGGAGGCTGAGTGAACTTGCATCCAGCTCCGCGGCCGTGTGACGTCAACCAGAGACCTCTGAACTTTGCGTCGTATTTCAGATATTACTGGCGAAAGCAATATACTTCAGTTTAATAAAGAAAGGTCCTGTGTTCCTGAGGCTAAAGGAGATATGAAAGGGGGCCCTGCAGCATCTTTCCATAGCATTTTGACATTTTAAGGGGCTGTTATCTTTAGCTGTTTTCCTTCAGCCACTACTCAGCTGATTGGGCCTGTGAAGAACCTTTACGGTTTACGTAATGCAATCCTGTGACCAGGGTTCGCTTTGCTTCTTCAAACACGACTACAAAAACAAAACTGAGATTGGGAACTGAAAAAAGTATTAATAAGTGTTCAACATTTTTTACATAAAGTATGAAAGTGTTGTTTTTTCACTTGACTGCATTTATTATCTAACATCTGATCAACAGGTCAAAGTTTAACTGCGAGAATGTTGGACTGTAACATCTCAGTTTAAATGTGCCGAAAGGATTTTTTTTTGTTTTAACAATCTCTTCACTATAAACAAAGGGGTTTCACAGAAATGCAAACTGCTCATATGGAACAAAGCTACAGAATGATGTGGTTTTACAACATTTGAATCCGAACAACAGTTGTTTGGTTGTTTACTTGTGTTGTAAATCTGTAAGACTGTCATTCAAATCTAATAAAACTATACACACAGAGACTTTATCTAAACCCACCAATCAGCATCTCTAAAGCTCACCCACACATTACCTTTTGTTTGTTTAATCTGTGCAAAAACCACCAAGTTCATATTTACGGTACAGACATGAGGATAATACCGATAACTGTCAGCAAGAAATCAATCAAACATATTTCCCCAAATGTCTCCGTATTGCATTGAACTGCTTTTCCCTCTTTATTTGAAATTTGATTGTGGTTTATTTAAAGTGTACTGTCACTTTACGATGTGAAACCAAGCTTTTAGGAGCTTTATTCTTAGCTTGCCCCCTGAACGCGCCCTCATGTATTAAGCTGAGTTCACCCAAGATCTTCAGCACCTTTATGTCTTACATCCTTTGAGTAAAAGTAATTTCTTTACACTATAAATCTCTGCCTTAACTACCCCGCCGGTGGTCAGAGGTGACAGCATTCATTTTGCAAATGGTAAGATGAGCACTCGGTGAGAACTCGGTGACACAGGAGAACGGAGAGTGTCTGGCACACCATTGTTGGCATGAGACGCAGTATCTTTAAAAGTGTGTGGGAGCGTGTGTGCCTGGCGATGTATTAAAACTGTTGTCAGAGTCCTCCGAGTGAAGTCACTGATAGCTCTTCTAGCTCATTCTTGGAATTCTTTCCAGTGGAAACAATCCCATCGCTGATCCCAGTGTGTCAGCAAAGTCTGACCTGCCAACCCCTGAATTCTCCCTGACTCCCAACTATAGTCCACATTAACACTGTTTCACTGTCACTCCTCTGCACATAAACTCACACCGACCCCCTTTCATTTCCTATAACATAAGCCTCCCTCCTCTGTATGTCATGAGGAGAAAAATAATGTTTTTTCCACTCCTGCTTGCTTCACATTTTACTTTTTGATCCAGTGCAGTTGTTTTCTTGTTCTATTTTTTGCTCTCCCAGACTTTTATCCCATTCTGTTGTTTCAGCAAGGTTCCCATACTGACAGACAAAATGTACTCTGCATTCCCACAGTGCAGGTTATGTTTCATTATAAACAGTGCCCCTGCTCTTATAACCTTGCTATTTCAGTGCTGCAACCTTACTGTATAAACCGCCGAGTTTTATTCTGTGTGTTCATGCATAACTGCGCCCGTGTGTTTGTGCTAAGCTTGCAAACATGAGCATGTGCTTGGAGGTTTTATGTATAACCGTGTCTGTTATTATGAGTGCCATGTGCGTAAGGGAAAGATTCTTTTCCCATGGTTCCCCAAGTGTGAGAAGAAAGTAGAGCTCTCAGGACATGAAGCAAAAAAACTCTGATAGTTATTTATAACCTGTCTGGAGACGGCCCACCAAGCGTAGACACATATCTGGCACCGTCAACAAGAGAAGAGCTAGAATAAGATACGCTAAGAGGCATACAACAAGAGGAGGGGGATTAAAAGGTGAGAGAGTCAAGGAAGGATGTAGAGGAGGTAGAGCATAAATAATACTGCACCGTCGCATTGCTATATCGTAGTTTAAAGACCAGTTGTCTGTCTCTGTGGCCCATTTAGATAAGAGTTAGATAAGGTAAAATGCAACTACAGCAAAGACGACACTCGGAAACTCGCTCAGTGTCATCATGCCCTAATAAACTTTAACTAATGTACTTTCCAAATGACACTGTGAGCCACACAGAAGGAGAAAAAAAAATGAAAAAAGAGAGAGAGAGAGAGAGAGAGAGAGAGAGAGAGAGAAAGAAATGGCATGCGACTGCTGTAAAGTGAGTGAGGTAACAAACTGTGTAAGCTGGCCTTTCACTGAATGCGTTTGACATTTGAAAACCCCACAGCAACATGTGATACACCAATAGAGAACAAAGACCACATAGTAGCGACGGCTGGTTGAATTCCCCGCAACTTCCCAGTAAATCAGAGGCAAACATGCTTGATCCTGCCAAGCTGTTCTTTTAAGACGTACATCAGCAGACCAGCAACCGAAGACACAATGCAACTGCTGGATTCACACCTACAGGACATGTGGATCCTCGGCTTCCAGCACCTTGGGGCCCATTTTCTGTTTACCCGGGTGATGTAAGGTGCATCTCAAGCTTTTAAAGCTGTGATCAATACAAGACTACTGGCATGATGACATCTGCTTTGTGCTGTAGTTCTGTGTGTTAATGTGCTAAGCCGCAGACAGCAACTCTTCCATAGGCTGTTGTTGATATAAATAGAAAGCTTATGGCCCCACTACTTTAATCCTCACTGCCTAGAGACCCGGGTGGAAAAAGAAAAGGAAAGAGAGAGGGGACGGACACAGAAGGAGACAAACACACAGAAATTAAGATGCAAAAGTGGAGTTACAGTCATGTGCTTGCTCCATGTGGTACAAGAGGACGTGAAATGAAAGTAAAGAAGTTTATCCATACATGTCCCCTCACTGAACTACCAAGAAAGCACATGAGGTCACTCGAGGCAAGAATGTTTAATAAAAAAACAAACCAAACGTGTGTTTTTTTAAAGTTGAACCTCATTAAAGTGCTATCAATAGACTCCATTGAAAATAAACCAAAACGCAGCGTTCAATGCCCGAAAAAAGTCACATGAGCTTGTGTGAGTGGAATGGCATGTTGACCGTGAATTAATGTTGTTGCCGGTGTCAAGATTTATCAGTTTGATTTAATTTTGAAAAGGTTAGCTTGGCTTACCTCCCAAGTTGACTTTTATCAGCAAACATGTGTATGTGTTTTATGTTTTTGATAGATCCGAATGACTGATTTTATTTTATTTTTTTTCACTGGAGGGCTTTAATACTTGGAATTCTCTAAAGGAAATATCATTAGGAGTACCTGATCTTAATGCTTTCGCTAAATTATCTCAGACAATCGTCATTAATCTTGTGGATGTGCTGCTCCTTTGAAGGTGAGTTGGCACCAAGCTGAAAAAATTAGGGTTTGTTTCAGAGCAAAGTTTTTCCGTTCCCTTCTGAAGTGATGCGTTGACCCTTGAGAAGTTTATACTGATAAAGCTATACAGTTCACTCTGTCTCTCAGATAGAGTGCATGCCATAGTGAGCAGGTCATGGAAAAGTCTTGAGTTTGACTAAGTGCACTCTCTCTTTTACCCTGTCTGTCAGTCCGTCTCTACCTCACTCGCTTCATTGCATGCACGCACACACACACACACACACACACACACACACACACACACACACACACACACACACACACACCGGAGAGTAGGTTTGCA